CCCCCCCCCCCCGTCCCCGCTCACGTCGCTCCAGCAGGCGGCGCAGTCCGCGCAGGCGCCCTTCCCGCGCCTGCAGCTCCGCCCTCACGTGCTCCCGCCAGTCCCCGCGCCGCATGGCTTTTCCCGCCCCTCCCGCCGCCCGCACAGCCCGCCGGGATTTGTAGTCCCTTGCCTTTTTTTTTTTTTTCTTAAGCGGCCGCCCCCCGAGGGCGCAGGCGCAGACAACATGGCGGCGGCAGTCCCGTGCTTTTCTTAAGCCGCCGCGCCCGATGGCGCAGGCGCAGAGATGATGGCGGCGGAGGCACTCCCGTGTTCTTAAGCCGCCGGTGCCGAGAGCGCAGGCGCAGCAAAGATGGCGGCGGCAGTCCCGTGCTTTAATTAAGCCGCCGGGCCCGAGGGCGCAGCCGCAGAGATGATGGCGGCGGGGGGGGGGGCAGTCCCGTGCTTTAATTAAGCCGCCGGTCCCAAGGGCGCAGGCGCAGACAACATGGCGGCCGGGGCAGTCCCGTGGTTTTCTTAAGCCACCGCCCCCCCCAAGGGCGCAGGCGCAGACAACATGGCGGCGCCGTTAGTCCCGTGCTTTTCTTAAGCCGCGGGTCCCGAGCGCGCAGGCGCAGACAACATGGCGGCTACCGGGTCCGCGGCCTACAGCGTGGGCCTCGCTAACGAGCGGCTGCGGCTGCTGGAGGAGCTGGAGCGGGAGATCGGGGCGGCGCTGCAGAGCGCAGGTGGGGCCCGGCTAGGCGGGGAGGCCGGGAGGGGACCGGGACCCACGGGGACGCCCCTTCCCGCTGACCTGCTCCCCGCTCCCCCTCCCCGCAGGCACGGTGATCCTGGAGCTGTCCAAGGAGAAGCCGAGCGAGCGGCTGCTGGACCGGCAGGCGGCGCAGTTCGGGGCCTCGGTGCAGAAGGTGGAGGCGGAGCTCTCGGCCCAGATCCGCTACCTGACGCAGGTGAGCAGGGGCGGGGAGGGGAGGGGAGGGAGGGGGGGCGAGGGTGGGGACCGGCTGACCCCCCCCCCCCCCCCCCCCCCCCCCCGCGCAGGTGGCCACCCGGCAGCCCCACGAGGGCTCGAGCTACGCGGCGCGCAAGGACTGCCAGATGGCCCTGAAGCGGGTCGACTTCGCCCGCCTCAAGCTGGCCGAGCTGGCCCGGGGCTGCGAGCAGATGCTGGAGCAGTAGGGAGCCCCGAGGAGGAGGAGGAGAGGAGGGCGAGAGGAGCAGGAGGAGGAGGAGAAGAGGAGGAGGAGGAGGAGGAGGAGAAAAAGAGGAGAGGAGGAGGAGGAGGAGGAGAAGAGGCAGAGGAGGAGAAGAAGAGGATGAGAGAAGAGGAGGAGGAGGAGGAAGAGAAAAAGAGGAGAGGAGGAGGAAGAGAAGGAGAAGAGGCAGAGGCAGAGGAGGAGGAGGAGAAGAGAGGAGAAGGAGAAGAGGAGGAGGAAGAGGAGGAGAAAAAGAAGAGGAGAAGGAGGAGAGGAGGAGAAAGAGAAGAGGAGAGAAGGAGAAGGAGAAGAGGAGGAGAAAAAGAGAGGAGGAGAAGGACAAGAGGCGGAGGAGGAAGAGGAGAAAAAGAGAGGAGAAGGAGAAGAGGCGGAGGAGGAGGAGGAGAAAAAGAGGAGGAGAGGAGAAGGAGAAGAGGAGAAAAATAGAGGAGGAGGAGGAGAAGAGGAGGAGGAGAAGAAGAAAAGAGAAGGAGAAGAGGAGGAGAAGAAGAGAAGAAGGAGGAGGAGGAGGAGGAGGACAAGAAGAGGAGGAGGAAGAGGAGAAGGAGAAGAGGAGGAGGAGAAAAAGAAGAGGAGGAGGAGGAGAAGAAGACGAAGAGCGGCAGGGGGAGGAAGAGGAGAAGGAGAAGAGGAGGAGGAGGAGAAAAAGAAGAGGAAGAGAAGGAGAAGAAGAGGAGGAGCAGCAGGAGGAGGAAGAGGAGAAGGAGAAGAAGAGGAGAAAAAAAAGGAGAAGGAGAAGAAGAGGAGGAGGAGGAGGAAAGCAGGCACCCGTTGGCTCCCCGCACCTGCCTCCATCCCCCGGGCCTCCTTCCCTGGATGCCAGGTTGTGAGGAAGCCCCACAAATCCAGCGGGTTGCTTCGGAAAGAAAGTCCACTGGATGAGCTGAGATGGGGGGGGGGGGCGAGGGTGTTTTACACACACACGCACGCACACCGATTGTGAGCTGCCTCTGGTGGAGGCCTCTGTACCTGGAGCCAACCCAGCCCTGAACCCTCAAGGCAGGACGGAAGGACTGTGCTGTCCAGGCCTAGTTATAGAGTTCATGGGATTTGGGATAGTTAGTTAGGAATTGGGAGCTGTCCCCTTAAGGGAATGCACCCTGGGAGATGTAGTTAAGGGTATCCTGGGACATGTAGTTCCTGTCATGCAGTCACATCTGTCATCCGGATTGGTCACTGAATGGACCCTCGGTGGGAGGTTTCTTCGCTCTTGCCTGAACACCCAGCCTCACGGTAGCATCTCTACTACGGGATGAAATAGGGGATAGAAAGATAATACTATCCTTTTACACAATGGTTTCAACTGGGTAAAGAATTGGACATTCGATGCATCTTGACATAACTGAGTTACCTCTACTTTCTGCCTCTACTACTACGGGATGAAATAGGGGATAGAAAGATATTACTATCATTTTACACAACAGTTTCAACTTGAAAGAATGGGACATTCGATGCATCTCGACATAACTGTGAGTTACATCTACCCTCTGCCTCTATTACTATGGGATGAAATAGGGGATAGGAAGATAATACTATTCTTTTACACAAGGGTTTCAACTGGGCAGAGAATGGGACATTCGTTGCATCTCGACATAACCGTGAGTGACCTTGAGGATGCCTACTATAATCCAATAAAAGAATCTTTGTTCTTCTATCTGTCTGTATACGCAGCAAGCGAACCGGGCGACCTTGGAAAGCCACCCCCCCCTTCTCTCTTGCCCCTTCAGGGGGCGGGGGGCATAGGGAAACCGGCCGGCCCAGGGGAAGAATGCCTGGGCATGTGTGCAAAAATGTCCCTTGCCGGCTCCCGTAGCCCTTGGCGGCTAGGTCCCGGCCTCTCTCTCTGCCTGGGGACTTCTGGGAGTTGAAGTCCACCCTGTTCCGGTTGCCAAGGAGGAGAAACGCTGGTTGGAGGGGAAGGAGGGGAGGGGAGGGGGAGTATCAAGGGCCGGGCTGATGGGTGTCGTCCCGCGGCGGGACACCTGCCCAGCCGGAGCCTCCTGGTGCTCCGGTCTGTTCCGGGGAAGGCCCCTTCCAACTCTTTCAATCTGTGTGCGGGGGACGGACGGACTAGATGACCTCCAAGGTCCCTTCCAACTCTTTCAATCTGTGGGGGGGACGGACTAGATGACCTCCAAGGCCCCTTCCAACCCTGTCAATCTGTGGGGGGGATGGACTAGATGCCCTCCAAGGCCCCTT